TACATATGCATCATTCGGGAAAAAAAAAAAAAAAAAAAACTTAAACCTTTTACTTGCAGATCAAATTATGTCTACTGTGGCCATTCCTTACTACAGCTGAAATGAGATCTTGCTCCAGACCGGTGCAAGGCAAATTCAATAAAGTAATCAATATGAGCAGAAATATTCCACAGTGGACCTCAGACATAAGAGAAAAGATCTCTTTTACAATTAAACCTATTTTTGAAAGCTCAAAACAGAGTGCCTTACAGAGATTTTGTAGATCACAAAGTTGTATTTTAGTATAGAAGACTAATGTATCTAATGTTGTGAAACACTGAGATAAGTTTCAAGCTCATTCTTCAACAGCTTTTGCAGGTGTGCAGATCCTCAGATAAAAAGAACAGTGAAAATGGATCTGCACAGGCCAGGATCAGAGACAAATACAATAGAATGTATTTCTTCACTTTTGTAAAGATGTTTAATGGTGCAAAAAATGATCAGGTAAAAAGTGACAAGATAGCAAACTACACTATTATGATTATTATTATTATGACATTGAAGCAATGTCAGACACAAACAACACCAACCATAATTTCAATTTTCATTGGCAGTGAAATTCCACCATCTCTGTGAAGCTTTTTGAAAACAATTACAGGCAGACATCTCTGTCCAGAACAGCTTTCCCAACTCCCCCATGTCCATGATCTAAGATGTTGGTGGTTCTGAAGAGAGCAGGTAATGCAGGCACTACCAATGGGCAGCTACTCTTTCCTATGGAAAGGCACTTACATGGATCAATGACTGCTGTAATGCCTCATCTCATCACAACATTTGCATCATTGGGAAACATATTATTGAAAGGATTTGGATACAGTCTAGTCTACAGCTAGCTCAGCTGTATCTGACAGACTAAGAAACTACTATCGCCTTCAGATGACTAAAATACAGCATTATCAGACATAGGTAAACCGATAATGTGTGCATTATTTTATGTTACATATTTATTAAAACCATTCAAAAATAATGTCACTGTGACTTTAATGTGTTCTACACATGTTTATTCTGCAAACAATGGAAGAGATTACATTTCCTTGGGGAGACAAAGCTATATTAAAATTACAGTTGCAACTGAAGCCTACTGAAGAGCACATTTATAAGCCAGGTATGCAGTCAATCATTACACAGTCTTGTCTTCCTTGTAACATAACAATACTGTACGACTTGAGAAGAACCTAGCCCTCTTGGTCACAAGATTAGAAGTAAAGACAAGGTGGGTAAATGCTATTACAGCCTGTATGATGCTCATGATCATAACAACAATTGAAATGTCAGTACACTATGCCAATAAATCCTTTTCTCAAGATGAGCCAAGAAAAAATATATGGTATAAAATGCATTCAAAATACAAGTATGACCATATTTGAATATAAGAAAGCATGTACAGTGCGGTCCAAAAGTCTGAGACTACTTACCCTTTCCAGTGAATTGAAATATGGTCTCAGACTTTTGAACCCCGCTGTACCTAAAAACCAACAAAGATCTAAATAAGTTTTTGTCTCAGGTAACTTTTTTGGCAATAATGGTCATATCTAAACTGTCTCATTTCAGGAAGTTGTGTATTGTTTTTCGCGTCAGCTGTTTGGTATAGCTACCAAGATGTTAAAAACATACTGAGTAGCTATATATTCCAAGTACTGAATTTGCCTTCACAAAAACAGGGATAAATTATTATGAATGATATCTCATAAAAGCTCAATTCTGAGGCAGACAGTGGCTTTAACGACAGCTTGCTAAAATTGTCGTCTGTACAGCTAGCTTGCACTGACACGACGCAAGACGATTTCCAACGTTCAAATATGAATCCAGCTACAAACAAAAAGCTTCTGGTTGACATTCAACAGTAGTACCGTGACCATATTGCCAAATTTTACTCGCATGTGGTGCAAAAATACCTGCCTTTTTAAGCTTATGTTAATGATCGCTAATAGCTAACTGGCTACCGAGTAGTGGCTGGCAGCTGTCATTTAGCGACAGTTTCGGGTGATCATAAGTACCTGCTTTCTCCCTATGTTTGCACCAAGTTTGTTTTCTGATACGAGACGAGGAATGGAAAACAAAATCTTACAAGCAAACCCCGTCAACAACTGTGATCAGACAACCTAACGGTAACGTTAGACTAGCTGGTTCGGCGGACAAGGCCAAATATTCTCAGGCTATCCTGGCGTTAGTTAGCAAGCTCAAGTCATCTTGATACCGTTCAATCGTAGCCAATTCGTATCAGTTAAGCGATTTTCTTGTGTTATATACATGCAGCAATGTCGGAAAAGCAATCTAAAGTACAGGTTTACCTTCATGTTTTAGCTTAGTCGACAAGTCACACAGCTAACCTGGCTAGCACCTACCAAAAACACCGTTCCTCTCGGCCCAACGTCTGATATAAAACTGATGCAACGTTAACCAGTCTGTTAACGACACAAGCAAGCTAACTGTTAGTAAACTAACGTTAATGCAAATTGAACAAGTCGAAGCAGGACAGAGTATGAAATATTCATTGATTGACATTCCCTGTGCTAGCTGGTTAGTTAGTAAATGCTTAATAACAACGTCCCTAGCGACGTTGTTACTAATGCTATCTACTGGAGTAACGTTATAATAAAACAGTTATTTGTTTCACCTGAAAGTGTCGTTTTTGCTCAGATTCCAGTTATATTCATTAACCTGAGCACTGCGGGGCAACTCCTTAATCCTAACCAACCGACTGCTCAGCAACAGCAGCCGGGGATCTCTTACCGCTTAGCTCGGTAGCTAGCCACTTAGCAAGCTAGCACACGAAACACTAGTGAGAACGTTAATATACGGCGAGACGGTGTCTTTTAAAAAACAACAGCTGTCGATTGAATTTCTGTCGCCAAAGCAAAGTGTGTTACCTGTAAACGTTAGCTATCGAAACGCAGTCCAAGACATGGTTTTATGTTCGTGGGTATCTTTCTCATTCCGTTTCTCTTGTCCTCAAGTTGCTATGATTTCGCTGTTGTCTCTTTAAGCCTCCCGATACCAGGACACAGCGTCACTGCGCTACGCTGAAAAACTGACGCAACTGGTTTGGCGAATAGGCCTAAAGCAAAACATCAGACCTGCGTAGCTCACTGAGTTCCTGCTCCAGACTGATCGATTTGTTTGACAAAGTTGCGCTTTTCACACTAGTGAAACTAAGGTAGTGTGAAGACATTCACACATCTACAGTCCAGTGAATGGGTGCAACACAACTCTGTTCTTTGGTTTGACAATTAAACATGAAATAGGGGATTTTTGCCGCAGGTATGATCCCAAGTATGGATTTTTTTATGCCACAAGTGGATCCCAATTATGATCAGTCAGTATTTTGAGCCAGTACTGCTATTTACACTATTATCTTCATCATATTTTGAACAATCAGTTCAACATACTGAAGATTTCATCCATACCACAGTGAAAATGTCAATGAAATTATTTGACAATTCAGCAGCAGGTAAAATTACAGAAAAATAACTGGCTTAATAATTGCTTAATTGGTTAAGTAATATTCTATGCAAAAATGCCCCCCAAAAAATCACTTGTTCCAGTGACATTCTGTAATGTTGAACTACCTCTAGGCTTAATTCAGACTGAACAAGTAATGTGAGTGTGTTCGCTTTTGATGGGCATTGTTTTACTATTTTCTCACAGTTAGGCTAGTTATAAACTAAATGATGAATTGGTAAATCACTAAATTGACGGACTAATCGATAATGAATATGATCATTAGTTGCTGCCATTACTTTATACAAATTTCAGACTAATAACGTAAGAGAGAGATCTCTGACTCAGGAGCTGAAAAATATACCCCTGTTTAAAAGGACGAAAATCCATATGAGACTGCATAGACCTTATAATATTTGTCCTCTGTCTAATAAGATCTAAAAGCTTGTTCCTATCATCTGCTGCCCAGAGGATTCAAACACTTTGGGAAAAGTCCAGACCTCTTTTGTTTCTACTGTCAAGTGTTTGTTTTCTGCTGTACCACAAAACACTAAAAGTCATGTAAAATTTGCAATATGGGGTGCTATGAAAAAAATGTCATAATGTTGCTATTTTTCTAATATTGATATACAGTATATTATAGTGTGGCAAATATATACAAAATCACACATTAAGTAATCAAACTGACTGAAGTGATAACATGTTATGATCATATAATTGCAATACAATTCCATTCTCTATACATGATGGTACTGAATCATCACTCAGCGTTAAATCAAACAGCTTACATCGTTTTCTTAATGAGTAAAAATACTGTACATAATCTTATTCTTGCAGTCTTGTAAATGTGTCACAAAGTACATTTTAAGAAAGTGAAACCCATCCTACTGGCAGTACTACTAAGCCTCACAAAATCCAAGAGAAAAAAACAACAACAGAGGATTCAGCAATATATAATTTTATTTCACATTTCTATGTTGCAGTGCTTTGTTACAATAAGGAGCTTTTCTCAAATGCTTACCATTGTTTTTACCATGTAGCTACTTCGCATTGTAGCCAGCTAAATAATGCTGGAAGAGACAACAATATCTTTAAATGGAGTGTACACACTGCTTCTTGTCTGGAACCAAAACATGACGAAATAAACATCAGCCTCTTTCAAGCAAACTCATACCACTGTGAAACTAAAACCATCCTGTAGATGTTATTTAAAGCAGACCCAAATTAGACTTTGTCTACTAAAAAGAACCTCAGAAAGTATGTGACTGTACAGCTTTATGTCCTTTTAGACCACTGTTACTCACTGTACAGCTCGCATCTAAAGTCTAAAGTTTAGACAGGCATTCAATAAAACTCGCTAGATAAAAATTAATGTTATGTGCACAGTCTATAGTCCTATTTACAGGAACAAGGCAGTAGGTGCCTCTCTACCTTGTTGTCCTGTCTTCTCCCACCCAGGATTTCTTCAGGAGAAGGGGAAACTTCTGCCTCTAAGTGTCAGGTGTATAAGTCCACATCAGTTACAGCCCCAGGTGAGGGCGAGGCACAGCTTTACTGGAACAAGCAGTCTGAAGGGAGAGGCTACAGTTTTTAGCAACTGATGATGGAGGAACCCCCAGGGTGGAGCTGTGCTGCTGTATGATGGGCCAGAACAACGGGGGGAGGGCGAGCTCAGTGGACAGCACTCCTACAACAGGCTGGTGAGGTGGGTGGCTGTAGCACTCCCCTGTCATGACAGGGAAAAGTGGAGGAGAGTGTAGCCGGAGGGGGCACCGTGAGATACCAGAGTCTGAAGGGGCGAGGGGAGGGCAAACATCCCTAATTTTATCCACATGAGGAGGAGGAGGAGGAGGAGGAGGGATGTTGCTGTCGGTGCATGATGTGATGACGTCCTGTTTGTCTTCAGTCCTGACTTCCTCCTGTCCCACCTTCCTGCAATGTGGTGTCTCCTCCAGACCGTTGTCTCTGGAGAGTGGGGAGCCCTTCTGACCTTTACGAAACTTTGCCCTCCTGTTTTTGAACCACACCTGGAGGATAGAGAGTAAACAGCTGAGGTAAGTTTATTTATTTGAGGCAGTTTAAAAAAAACTGAACTTTACAAAACTGAATTAGAGTCTTTTAAAGGTTTTTTCGGGAGGTAATCTGGATGTAAAAATGAACTAAAATGACATAAAAACAAAATAAAATCAATAAACATAACATTATAAGGCAGCAGAAAATAACAAGATTGTCAACAGTAACATCTATGTGAATTAGTAAAAGATTTGTACTGTATTATTGCTGAAAATAAAAAGTATTTCTCTTACGAGACATATTGCCCACGTTCCCCTCTCATCTCATTAAAGTTACATGAATTAATATTAATATGAAAAGGTAAATGCAGCAGGGTTTTATTTGTGCTTTCGAGCTCAATGTTCACCATTAATGAACACTTGTCATCATGCATTATTGGTTTCAGGTTTACAGTCAGCTGCTGGATGGAGTGTTCTCTCACCTGAATGCGAGCCTCAGGCAGGTTGATGCAAACAGCCAGCCTTTCTCTCATACCGACATCTGGGTACTGTGTCTGTTGGAAGGCTTTCTCCAGCGCCTGCAGCTGTGTCACTGTGAATGCTGTGCGGCTGCGGCGTTGTTTCTGCTGGTTCCCATAGCGAGCCTCCAGAATCAGCTCTGGTGGGAAGGAGAGAGCCCAAAAAAAAAAAAAAAAAATCATCAAAACTGAGTCAACAGAATGTCTGTCTTCAGGTGACGAGGAGTAACCTGAGTAATTTGTTATTCTCATTTACATTTCTCTTTTGTTTTTCTGTGTTGCAGGGAGGCAGTGGTGTATGGAGGACCACATGTGTGATGGAAATAGTTATAAAGCATTTGGTTTTTCCCCATTTTACCTCTCTACTAGACCAAAATGACTAAGTATTTCATCAAGTGATGTTTTAATGGGTGATTAAAGGAGGAATTCTAAAAACAATTTACAAATGAAACATAAATTAATCAATTAATAGTTCAAATTAAATATGGATTTTTAAAAAAGAGTAAAAATACATTCATCGATTCCTAAATGAATAATGGAAAATCAATATCAATTTGAAAATGTCATTTCAAAAGAGAAATAATTTACTGAATTTACAAACTGAATTAACAACACAGGTTTTAATCAGGCATTTGAATGAACAACTCCCTTTCCCTTTTGCATTTCCTATGTTTTCCTTTCATTTTAGCTTTTCCATTTACTTCATCATTTAGCGTTGCCTTTTTGCCTATGTTTTTATTTGTCCAATTAGATATCAATTAATGAAATGAACATCTATTTCCATGACACTCTTGGTCCTCCACAGATTCCCGCATTGTCCCTTTGGGGGTCTGTTCAGGACCCTGATGACCCACCTGCCAGCCTCTCAGCCACAGAGAGGGTGTGCACCGTGGGGCCTGCTGCGGAGTAGACGTGGTACTGCTCCGCCATCTGGTGGTGCAAGTCGAACAGCATGGAGTTGACACCGTGGAGGGGATAAACACCACCGCTGGACGGCCCGCAGAAATTCAAAGAGTTCATCGTGAATCTAAGGGAACAGAAAGATTTATTCAACTGCCCGAAAGGTGTATTTTTAATATGAATATCATTAGAATATATTGAAGGAGATATTTAAGTCCCTCCCCCACCCTCAAACCTCTGGCAAAGTCTCTACATGTATGTCTAAAACTTTAAATATACTTGTTAACAGCTAATTTCATTGGGGGACAGGGCAGCAAATAGCCTACTGAAGAATGAATGAAGATATTTGTTAATTTGATCAATTGAAAAACAAATACTATTAGAGGAACCAACATTAGGTCTGAATACTCCCAAAAACTATTTTTTGTTATTGTCCCCTTTCCTTTAATGTCTAATTTATTAGTCACTGTTCAGACCGTGAAGTCTCGTTTTATAAGTTAAAGAAAATGTCCGTATGAATGGCTAAAGACTATGTTGGGGGAGGTGGATTAAAAATATTAGGTTTTTCTTTTAAAGGCAATATATTTGCTCTTATGAAGGTTTGATTTAAGATCACTTGAATCTTGAACCTTGCACCCATTTTTACAATTATTTTGCATCTCACAGCGCAAATCTTAAAACTCAAAAAACCTGATTTCACTGATATCCACTATACAATCAACACAGCAGGATCGCCCCCTCACTCATTGTATTCCTCACTGTTTACCTGAGATCCAGACCCTGAGCAGAAGCGTGAGTTCCAGATGCGTTTTTACGCACAGCGGTGGACCCGGTGAGTCGTAGTCCAGTATGTCCTAGTCCTAGTTCGGGCCTTATATCCTCGCACAGCAGCGCTCTTTGTCGTGACGCGGATCTGATTCTCCGAAACCATTCTCACCCACGACTATTTAAGAAGCATTTACCCAGGCTCCCCTCAGCCATTAGCCAATAGAAAGAAAGGTATTAGCCGGGATTAGGTGGGATGAGGGAAGAGGGGGGGGTTGCAAGGGGCTCAAGTTTTTGAAACTATTGAACTTGAGAGATTTATGCCAAGGATCCCCCTATAAGCGAGCGTTTCATTCCCTCCCGTTAAAACAATTAAAACAATGTGGTGGGCTAATCTCCGAGGCTGGGCAGATTAAAATAACAGCCTTTGATTGTCCTCTCCTTCTCAGTCCTCTTTCTCCCATACCGCTGGCTTTGACAGAGGGGGTTTTCTCTGTGGGTTTGTTTTGCTAACAGCCACCATATTTTGCCTATAAACTGTCACCATGTGAAGTTAATCTGAACCAATTTCTTAAGATGCTGCTGAGCTAAATTACAAATCTTTCCAAGAAGAGAAAAAACATCAAATCATCACTGAAATGAAGTCCTCTCATTTTGCAGCCGCCAACATTACATCACCATTAGGTCACTTATGGTACATTTTATAAACCATATTCCACTAATGAAAAGTAGCTGTAGCCTACTTTTTAAAAATGTATTTATTTATTTTATTAAAGGCTTCTTTTTTTTTTTTTTTTTTTACAATTATCTGACAGTTGTAGTTACAAGTTACTTTGCATATTTAATTTTTACCCACAAAATAAAAAAAATATTAAAAAAAAATGTATGTATAAAAGAAAGTGTGTAAAATGTGATGCACTGTTATAAATTAAACTGTTCATTAGAACATTAAATCACTGTTTATGCACTGATGAATTAGTAATAATGATCAAACACTATGTTTGAAAGGGGTCATTTTCCATACTGAGTATTCTTGCTTTTGATACATAACTATATTTTGCTGATAATATTTTAGCGATTTTTATTTTAAGTAAAAATCAGAATGCAGAATTTCCGTGAAATCAGAGTAGAGGCTGAAATATTATTTTTTTTATTAGTCCCATTTATTTGGGTAAATCTCCACGCACTGGTTCTTACATGTCCCATAATGCAACTGAACAGCATCTTTCATTAGATCTTTTATGCCTCTTATAATCCCACTTCTTTCAAACTCCACACTTCCAGTTTATCATGCAGGTTTTCTGTGATCTCAAGGTTTTCTTTAGACATTGGAAAACTCCCTTCAGAACAACAGAGGTGTAAAAGTGGTGGAGTGCTCTTCTGAGTAAAATAAGGAAACGCTGCATTATTGTCAGACCATCTTACTTCATGTTTAGCTTAAGGCCAGTCAGTACACTTCCCTGAAGCCCCGACCTGTCTCATCCACACTGATGGAAACACCTGGGAGGAACAATCACATCACTCACTGAAATAATAGAACTATACTTCTAATTAAGTTAAGTAATTTTTACTTCTACAGCCCCAAATCACAAATTTGTCTCAGCGGGCTGCATAACACTCAACAGGCTCCATCCTCAGATGCTCAATTTGGATGCGAAAAATCTCCATGAAAAAACAACTTCACAAGAAAAAGGAGGAGGTCAGAAGTGCTGTAGATTGGACCATTAAAGGCAATGATAGTTCAAATGGTGACACAACATGTAGGGTTGACCTCAGTCTTTATTTTCAGGAGTAGATGATAATGTAGGGTTTTCCTGACAATTAAAGCAGGCTGGGACATAAATGGTAAACTTTCAAAAGTTTGTTTGAATGAATATTGTTCCCTGTACAATCTGACTAGTTGGTTAAACTCTCAGATGGTAATTCCTTTGACAAAGGTGATTAGTTTCAAGGTGCGTTTACTTTATATCTACTAGTTAATTTTATTTAAAAAGTAATTGGATTTACTTACTTCATTTATAAAATGGAAAGTGAAAAAGTAAAAGCTTAAACTAGCAAAACAGCAAAAACAACTCACATCAAACCACGCTGTCCGTCATATTCAACCACTTTTCAATGTTCCTGATGTAACTGAACTTTTTTTTTCTTAGCATATAAAGCTCTCTTGAATAAGGCTTTGTAGTGAGTACAGTACAACTTGCTGCTTATCTTCTTCTGTCATTGAATACTGCAGAGCCAAGTCACATCCTCATCCAACACTCACGCACAGTAAGATGCTACAGGTACATTCCTGCACCGAAATCAGCTGCATATAAAGAAACTGTTTAATTTTTTAAAAATCAATATTCACAGATAAACAGGGGAGACGTCTCCAGCGCTGTGTACTTTGAGGTTGTAGACCAATAACCATGGTTCACTTCTTCCTCTCACACTCGCACACAATCAACAGCTCAGACTTCCAAAATATGTGAAAATGTTTGTGCTCTTTTTTCCCCTGGCCTTTTTCCTCCTCCTTTCGCTGTTCTTGGCTGTCAAGCTATATTAGTGTCCGATAGAAATAAGTCATTTAGAAGAGCCTCTGTCGGCCAGCCCCTCAGCCCCACTAAAAGCTCCAGGATTAGGTCCCAGAGGCCTTTGTCTCCGCAGCCCGCAGGATTAGGGGAGATTTACTGCGAGGAGAGAAAAAAAGTAGTTATTTCATGGCACTTTCATGATGAAACCTGGCCAAAGCTGTGTTGGCTGGGGGGATTAGAGGCACACAAAGAGTGTGGTTGTGTGTGACCCTCCCCATCCCAGAGCTGCTACCACTGACTCACCGCCCCCCTCCCTCCTTCTGATCATTTCCCCTCCTGCGGGCCAGCAGGGCTCGGCCGGGTTCACCTCCTACCCATCAAGACGACCAGGGTTCAGCTCCTCACTTCTCAGTCATCCAAAACTTGCTGCTTCATCTTCACATTCCCCACAACAACTCAAAACAACTCTACCATCATATTCCAATTAGCCTTTAAGTTGATCAGCAGTTTTATGAGGTAAGAAAACAGGCCTTGGTGCAGTAAGTCTAATCACCAGGCTATGAGTATGTTGCATTAAGAGCCTGAGGTGCAGTGGTAAATGAGAAGTTAGTGGATTTTAGTCCCTCCTGTAGTGTTTAAAACCGCTTGAAAGGACTTATCCTGCTCTTAGAGGATCCACTTACACATGCATGGATTACAGTGAATAAAACACAAAGGTCTAAGCCACATCACTGACAACAGTCTCACCGCTGAACAGGTGAAAACTCGCGCAGGTTTAATAACGGTTGTCACATAGCAGAGGGAATTTAACAGACCTCACTGCTCTGCCGAAAGTAAGAAAGTGACAACGTGAATAGTCACTGTCCGAACATCCAGCCTTTATCCTGTGTGATGTCAAATAACATGAAGTTATTAAAGTTCAGCTGTTATAAGCCATATGCAACATATTTTCATGTGCTGTTGCAAACATACAGTAACTCGCATTTAGTGCAAAACATTTGATGCCCGAGGAGTTTTAACAAAAGGCCAATGAGGAAAAAAAGCTAAGAAACCCAAATTGACTAGTTTGTTTGTTTCACTCTTTGAGTATCAGGTTATTGGATCTTTTTTGTTTAAAGTTCTTGGATGCTGCTGTTTGGTACCACTTCCTAAAAAAGGCATCCTTTACAAAGGGTTTATAAGTTGTAACTAAAGATTTTATTACTGGTTACAGATGCTTCATAAACAGGGTATAGGCCAGTAATAACAACAACTTCTGAGTTGTGAAAAGTCCCTTTTAGACAGTTACGTCTAATGACTTATTAACATTTCTAAATGCGGATTTGACAGTTCATTAGAAACACTGACATATCAATGATTAATAAAGCCACACGGTACAACTTATAACTTATAAAACACTTTGTAGAGTGTGAAAGCTGTATTAAAGGTGGTAATGTAAATTATTTTGTAGGACCTGTGAGGTTTAAAATGTAATAAAATCATCAATAATCAAAACCAACAAACGGTGAAAAATGCCCGTCATAGATTCATTAAGTCCAAGGTGACGTCTTCAAACTGTTCCTTTAGTACACAGAACAATCCAAAATCCAAAGCTTAAAAAAAATGTATTAATTTGTTTAAAAATTAATTTAAACTACTGATGACATATTTGTTGACAGATTAAACTGAATATCAGTATTTTCACTACTGTACGGGTGACAGCTTCAGCTTGTTAAACTGAGAGAAAAGATGAACAAACTGAATCAGGTGTTGAATAAATCCTCAGCTGTGGCTCCTCCTGCAACATATTTTGCACCTGCAGAAAATAATTAGAGCTGTCATTTGTGTGTTAGGGTGAAGAAA